GCAAGCAAGCAAGCAAGCAAGCAAGGAAGCAAAAGGCTTGAGCCTCGCATGATGCGTACGCAGCGGTAGCGGTAAAGCGAAAACGGCCCATTCCATCCTCCATATCAAGACGGGGGCGCGGCGAGCGGATCAAGAGAAAGCACATCTATACCTCCGCAGATCTAGCACAGCACATGTGCGACACGCAGGCAGGCACTTGGCTACTCTGCTGCCATCATAGACGTGGGTAGACCTTTACCTCGCTCCTTCATCCGTGATCCTACCAGCCCCGTATATGCAGCGCTTTGGCTTGGAGTGACACCTGAATGCCTGCTTCCTGCTTGCCCTCCACGCCGACGCACTGCCGACTCACGATCGCTGATGCTCAGATCAGCTAGGCGCTTGGATGTCTCGTTGAAGCAAGACGCGTGCAGTTCGACTTGTTCCTGCTTCCCCACTTCCACATTACCCCAAGCGTCGGTGTGCAAGACAACGCCATCCCATCACACCGTGTCGACCACTCACCATCATCGCTACATACGACCAATCGAGGTACCAGCACTTCTCCTCGGCATATGGACAGTCCACGAAGTAAAGCTATGGTCCACATACAGTCCACGACTCAAGATGGTATAGATTCTAACCATGACGCAGCTGCAAGCTCCAGCTCCAGCAGTCCAGCCGTAGGAGCATCTTCGCGCAAAGCTGCTCAGGCTGCAGTAAGGAGCTCTCTGGAGTCGGACAGATCGTACGATGATGGTGACTACGATGTAGACGAAGAGGCCCGTCTATTCGCCGGGCACGATACGCCTCATCAGGAAGCGGCGGGCACGACCTCCAAAAGGCACTCGGCTCAGGGGCCGATCCTCTACGATGCGGCTGATGAGCAAGATGGCAATGAAGAGGTTGCACATGCGCACACACCATCCGGTCACGAGTCTGATGTGCACCGTTTCGAAGATAGGAGGGAGACGGGGGGTTGGACCACCAGACTCAAAGGCAGAGGCCCCGTGGCAAGAGCTTGGGAGATCGCAAGAGAAGTGAGTGACATCATCAATGATGCTTGATGGCACGTGTCCGGTGCGGGTATGGGCGAGGTGAGGCTGCGTCATCTGTGCTGCCCTCAACATCGCTTCCAAGGCGTAGATGGCGGCCTAAATGCCAACGCGCTGGCTAATTGGGGCAGCCTAGTTGCGCTGTGCGTAGTGTGCTCAAGTCCGGGCTGCACCGTATCGATGGACAATTGACAGCCGTGGGATGCGCATCTCTATACTTGCTGTCTCCCGACTATGATAGCTCGGGCATACATCGTTGGGTCAGCCTAGCGAAAGTACACCATAGCATTGCCAGCTCATCTCTGGGGCGCCTAGCTTCTTGTAGCCGCTGGTACCATGAGCTCTAGTCCGTGGCTGTACGAACGCCTCTCTTTGGTCGCACCCACAAGCACCACGCGGCAGACATGGCTGACAACAAGGCGTTTCGCTACACAGGCGTTGCCCACCCTGGTTCTTTCAGTGTTCAGCTTGATGTTTGCAGGCGAGCTGCTAGTACACATTGCGGTGAGGTTGTGCGCTGTCAAATGCCAGAAGCTTGTCCCTCTGCCGCTGACATACTTTCTCTGCTGTGCGCGCCTGTTCGGCTTTGCAGAGATGGCCAGTCTTTGTAAAGGGTGAGCTACCTTCCCCTTCGGCTGCGCTGTCTGACGACCACTAACCCCTCTTCCTCCATTTCACGCAGTCGACAAGCTCTTCATCCTCGTGCCTATCCTGCTGAACCTCAAAGGAAACCTGGAGATGAATTTGTCGCTGCGTATGTCCACCTCTGCAAATATTGGAGAGCTGGATGTCCGTCGAACGCGACAAACACTCATCCTAGGCAACATGAGCTTGTTGCAGGTGCAAGCTCTGATAGTCAGCTCCTTTGCTGGTATCTTGGCATTCGTGCTGGGTGTCATCACTCCTGAAGCAGCGCCAGAGGGCAACAATGGCGGACCAGCGTCATCGAAGCAGATGCTCGCTCTGCGTTTCGCGCAGAAGGTCTTACGTAGTGGACGACCTAAACGAGCTGCTCTTGAAAATCGACTTTCGCCACGCCGCATCATTCACCACCATCCAAAGCCAGTCGTGGACCCAGCTTTGCGTCTGCGCAACGGCTACTTCGAGTTTGTCTTGGTCATAGCGACAGGCATGCTCTCCGCATCGCTGTCTTCTGCCATTCTGGGCTCCTTCATGTGCGCTCTCGTGGTAGTCACTCGCCAACTGGGTGGCAATCCGGACAACATCGCTTCCCCTCTCGCAGCTTCGCTGGGCGATCTTCTCACGTTGACTATCCTCGGCCTTCTCGCTTCACTACTTGTGCATTTTGAAGGGACGATCTTGGCGACACTGATTCTCGTTGGACTGCTCGTCGCCTGCGGTTCCTGCTTTGTCGCGACCTACCGCAACGCTTACGTTCGGGAACTGCTGTCCAGTGGATGGGTGCCTCTCATTGTAGCCATGTTCATCTCGTCCGGAGCAGGACTATTGTTGGATGCATTCGTGCAACGATTCGAGGGCTTTGCACTCTTGGCCCCGGTCGTCACTGGACTACCAGGCGCTTGCGCAGCGATCTTTGTCAGTCGAACATCCACCGCTCTGCACAGCGGAAAGGGAGCTGCAGCCAACATGATGTCTCCACGACGTCTTGCGCCCGTCAGGTCTTGGTCCACATCCAGCAGCGGAGAGATGTCGGTCAGCTCAAGAAACGGCATCTCTCGTCTATGGTCTCGCGTCACATCTGCCATCGCCTCGCTCCCTCCACCCACAGAAGGCTGGCTAGTCCCGACAACGCTCTTCATCATCGGACTGGTAATCGAGACGCTCTTCTTGGTCTTTGTTTGGGCTTCGGGCCAGATGAGCTTTGGCTTGCCCTTTGCCATCTTCTTTGTCATCATTGGCGCATTTGGCTTCGTCGCCGCGCTCTTTGTCAGTCACGCTCTGACCATAGGCTTGTGGTACAACGATTACGACCCAGGTGAGTGCGGAAGTGGACCATAATGCAGACGTGGCATGTTGATGTTGATGTTGATCTGGATTTTTGGTTCGCTCCAATCATACCAGACATTTACTCTTTGCCTTTCGTCTCGTCCATCGTCGACGTGGTGGGGCAAGCGCTTCTCGTGACGACTTTTACTATTGCTCTTGCTCTGGGCGACTCGGTCACTGCGGCTGTCAATGCAGGCGAAGGTCACGGAGGCGCTTGAATCGCGCCGTGTCACTCAACGAGGTCGATCCCTTGTAATCACAGTTCCATTCGTCATTCTCACACTGCGCTCCTTGCTGCACGCAGTGTGCTATGTTTCGTGACACCACCCTCAATTTTCTGTGCATCCTGTACCAAGAATCACGTCACCATCATTCTCACGAATCGAGCTAATGCAAGTTTCAATCAACGCTGGAACTGAGAAATGCGATTGGACTCGGCGTGAGAGCTGCGCTGAGCTGGCTAAGTTGGAGTACAACGTCCAGAAAATGGAGTTCGGGATCATCCGGTCCGATTCGATTCTGCGGTCGACTCGATCAGGCATGGACGGTCCGATGAAGGAAGCGCGCCAAACGCTGCGGGACGACAAGTGTTGTTTGCGTGTCTACCGAATTACAAGGGCACGTGGCTAGGCTGGCGAGCCACCGTCACGGTACTGGGTCAAGCGACTGAATCGCTTGACATTGGGAGAGTCGAGGATGGAGTCTTTGCCGAGGCTAGTAAAGTCGAAGCAGTACGCCCGAATCGTTTTGTGAGTTGAAAGTTTGAGCAAAAAAAAAAAAAAAAGGAAAAAAAAATCGCCTTGCACAACCCGAGCCCACACCGTTGACTCACTAGTGGCTGACGATCAAATGACCCGTGCGAGGGCGCACAAATAGACGGCCAGCGAAACGGCTCTCGATCTTGAATTGGTAGAGTGCAGCGCGCAGTCAATGTCAAGAGGTACCGCTAGGCGGCACGCTCACAAGCCAAACTCACTGTGACAGGTCTCTCGAAGGCTTGGTCCGCACCCAGCCCCTTGTCCGACTGGCGGCCAGGGGTGTTAGGGTGAAGCTTTGGGTGAGGTCCGCGGCGCAAGTAAGAGGCCTTGCCGTCGACCGGCAGCTGCTTCTGTTGGTCAGAAGTAAAAGCCAGCACGCCGATGCGAGAGACGTAATCAAATTCGTTGGCAAAGTGCTCAATGTTGGCAAATGGCATCGAACCGTTGGCATCGACAGGAGCGGAGAGGTGGTTGGCAGCAGACGCAAAAGTGTAGATCTCAACCTTTGAGAGGATCGAACGGTTGTAGTCTGCCAAGAGCTGATCCTGTCAGATGTCATCAGCCGAGTGCGGTTAGTTTTGACAGCACAGCCAGCAATGCCAAAAGTCGTCGCTCAACCCACAATCCAAGCGCTCTATTTCCATGATGGTAGGAGAGAATTGAGTCAGCGAAGCAAAAATTTCAGTCCCGAGGCTGTGTTGCCACTGACAACCATAATACCACCTTGACTGTGCCCCACGAGCACCACGCGCTTGTTCTTGGGGTCCAAGAGAGCTTTGACGAGTACATCGTAGCCTAATCTTTCATCACGACTGGGCCAGCTTCAGACCGGATCGCAGGCAGAGCTCAGCGCGCTCCACACAAGCGCATGGAGCCGCATCTATGCCGAAAGTACTCACTGCAGGTCACGCTGGTTTAGGCACTCGAGCAAGTCTCCAACCAAGCCGTAGCTGCGGTTGACAATGGCAACCACGTCACGGCCGAAGAGGTCGCTGATCCTCTGTAGCACGGTGGAAAAGAGAAACGCACCAAGTGCTTCAGCCGGGTCACCGTGTCAGCGGCTGAAGAATGTGCTACAACGCACCTGACAAGCTTTGCGCTGTCCATCAGGAGTCGTTGCGATACCCGTGACAAGTAGCCAAGCTTCATTCGGAAAGTTGTGTCCCGTCGGAGACTTGACGGTGAAGGTATTGAGTGGACCTTGTAGAGCGGTTAGAAGGCGCAAGGATGTACCGAGAGCCAAAGAGGTCCAGATCGGAGCTGGAAATCCCGTGAAGCTGGCAAACACCAGTACAGCCGTGCCGAACACTCCGACGATGGAGACGATGATCTGGTAGAGCAGACCAACGATCGTCATGTCCTGAAGCAAACCACCATGCTTGAGGCCGATGGGAAGGAGGACCAGCGGAAGGTAATACAGCTGGGAGATGAACTGAAGAGGCGCGGCGTGGATTGAGAGGGGTTGTCAGCCAGCGCCACTCCCAATGCGACGCTCGCATAAGCGAGTACGTTGTGCTCACCAGAGCAAAGTCATTGATCAAAGACCATATTGGACCAGCTCTGTATTTGATGGGCTCGGACGTCTCTGTATGCGGTACGGCGTCATAGACGGCCACGGGAGCAGGCGCTGCTGCCTGATTTTCCGGCTGCTTCTCTGGCATGTTGAAGTCGATTTGAGTGGAAGGCGGGCCGCAAGTGGGATGTTTGCACGCGGCCAAAGCAGGTCTCTTTCTGTGTTGGTGAAAGATCGCGAAGACAAGGTGTTGGAATACAGATGTGAGCCAATCGATGGCTCGGTAGCGGCCTGGATATGGTGTTGGGAATGCTGCACAGCGAAGTGAGAGTCAACAGCGCTATACATTCAGATTGAAGTGTTTGATTCCACGTCTCCCCATGTCACTTTTAACTCACCACCGTGTTTCGTGTCTCGGCTATCCGAAAGCAGAGCCGAGCAAAGGCAGACGAGGGCGCCTTCCTTGGCACAGCATGCAATGGATGGACATGCAAGAGCAGCAGTCGCAGCAGCAAAAGAATTCAACGCTGTATAGCTGAGCCGATGGGGGGGGGTTTGCTCTTATGCGCCAGGGCTGGAAATCAGCCCATCGAGCTGCATCGGCTAAGACGCGGATGTGTTTCTTGCCTGCAAGGAGCCAAGTGAGAAGGGCAAGAGCAAAGTGAGGATGAGGTGAAAGCAATCACAATCACAGTCAGAGTCAGAGTCAGAGTCAGAGTCAGAATGGGAACAGAGCGATAGCAGTCGCGAGTGCAGAAGTCAACATATATGCAGCATGTCCAGATCGGGACTCATGACTACCCGTACTCACGACTCACACTGGTACACTCGTGACTTGTTGCTGCGCGAGCGAGTCGTGAGTAGTCAGCACGAGTAGCTCGTGAGTCGTAACTGCACGCACGCTGCTGCTGCTGGTATGATGTGTGCTGGGTCAAGCTCGAATCATGTACAGTACGCTATATAAGCCCCACCATGCAGCGTGTTCGTGTGAGCTTGTATATAGGCTGCT